CCCCCCGCTCCCCTCCACACTGCTGTCCTCCCAGGTCCCCCTGCCTCACCCCACCCCCTCACCAGCCCGGCCCTGCCTGAGTCCTGCCTGGACGCTCCACGCTCTCACTTTAGTCACAGTGCTCCTCCTACAGTGGCCTCTCAGGGCTTTTGCGTTCCCACTTGGTCACTGTCTCGCCCCCAGACTAGTGAAGGAGCTTCATCTTGGTCCCAGCAGGCCCAGGCTCCCACGTGGGGCTCGCATGAGCACGAGGGGTCCTACGGCGAGCACCCTGCCTCCTGCCCTCTGCTCCCTGCCCTCGAAGCAGGAGCAGTGTCCCCAGAGGCGAGAAAGGGTTCAGCCACAAGAGAGAGGTAGGAGGAGCCACTATGCCTCTTCCTCTGGGACCTGCCGAGTGAGCACGGGCTCTGCCCTGGCCCAGGCTGGAGCATGCCGCCCTCCAGAGATGCCAGGCTGGCCCATGCTGAGGGGGTAGGAGGGGGCTCTCGAACCACCTGCCTCAGAAGGACCTGGACTATCTGCTCCTGGGCACACCTCTGGGCCACTCAGCCTCAGTCACCATGGAGGCAGTGGTACAACCTGGAGCCCTGGAGCCACTGACTCCATCTGTTCCCTCCCCTGCGCTGCCCTGTCTCCTCCCCTGACCTGCCCTGCACTCACCCAGAGAGAATATCTCCCAGAGCAGCACCCCAAAGGACCACACATCGCTCTGTGTAGTATACACCTTGTCAAAGATGCTCTCAGGCGCCATCCACTTCAGGGGAAGCCGGGCCTGCGGGAGGAGGAGGAAATGTGTCCCCACAGGGAAAGGAAGAGGGGAGGAGGCCACACCCTAGGCAGTCACCCCCCCAGTCCCCAGTCTCCCCGAACTCTGGGGCCAAAGAAGGGCTTTCTGGCCACATGCACCCATGTGTCCACTCAGATGGCTCCCACAGTTTGCCCTGTAGGTACCTGTCACTTCCCTGAAGGCTTCCTCTTCCCTGCTGCTGTCCCGGGTCCCTACAGGCCCTCCTCCCCCGCACCTCACCTTCTCACTTGGTTCTCACAGTGGAAGCCTGGTGTCACTCCTGACCCCTCCCCTTGTGGCTCCTGATGTGCTTCCTTATGCTCTCTCTCTCCACTGGTGGCCTCTACGTGGGAGCCAAAAAACCACGGCCCTTCCTGACCGGCCTCTGCTCCACCCTAGGATGCACTTCCATCCCCACCTCCACAGGCCTCCCACGCACCTGCCCCTCACTTCCACATGCCCCATACACCTGCGAGTTACAGTGAAAGACAAAAACCTTCTGCACAATGGCCCGTCACAGCCTGGATCCATCCTGGCCATTATCTCCCTCCAGCCCCCTTCTCCTCCAGGGCAAAGCCTTAATCAGCTCTGGGTGCTCATTCAGGTGCCTGCCTGGCTGCCTCTGAGTGCCAACAACAAGACACACGCTGCACCTAGCACCCATAGACATTTCTGTGACTGCCCTGTCCCCGGGTCCACCACTGCACGTACGCCCCTACAGGGCAGGCATGGGAGTCAGTGTCTAAATAATGGACCAAGGTGCAGACCAAACACAAACTCCAATCAGAGCACTGTGGTCTCTGATCCTCAGCTCCTGTCCCCATTCACCCGCCCTAGGTGCCTCGGCAGTCACTTGGGTCCCTGCAGGCCCTGAGACCTTCCATGGGGATGGGGGCGAGTCTCCCACCCGACTCCTGGGTGGGAGGCTGCAGCCTGCACTCACGCTGCCCTTGCGCACGTAGTCAGGGTCCTTGTAGATGTCCCGGGCCAGGCCAAAGTCACAGATTTTCACCACATCGCTTTCCGACAGCAAGATGTTCCGAGCAGCCAGGTCTCTGTGGATGCACTAGGGGCGCAGGGATGTGTGAGGGAGTGGTCAGCACAGGCCTGCGCTGGACCCTGCTCCTCCCAGCAAAGATTTCTGTGCACCCGGTGACCATGGAGAGGGCTGCTGGAGTTGTGCGAGGAGCAAAGGAGGCTGTGAGGTGAGACAGATTCTGATTCCATATCCAGCTCTGCCACTGACAAGCTGGAAATCTTGGGAAGTCATTTCCACACTTTGGGCTGTTTCCTCCTCTGCCAAGCGGAAAAGAGGGACGCCCCTCGACCACAGGGTCACTGTGGGGTGAGCTAGGACCGTGCACCATGCTGGCGGGGGGCGGGGGTCTGTGCCCTTCTCCCCTCTGAAGGGCCTGCCAGGACAGTCACCTTGCGGGAGGCCAGGAACTCCATCCCTCGGGCCACCTGGAAGCTGTAGCAGACAAGATCTTCCATGGTCAGTGGGCTCAGCCACAGGTCCTCAGCTGTGCAAAGGAGCAAGGCGGGCTCAGGAGGGGCCTCCTCCATGACCTCTGTCTTCCACGCTGCCCCAAAGGGAGTATTTGTTCACCCGACTCTGGCTGCATCTCTCCTGGCTGGGACCCTGAGGTCCCTGGCACTAACTAACAAGCCTGTGGCCCTCTCCTCTTCACCTTCAGCCTCCACTCTCTACAACGCCCACCAACTACTCCCAGGTCAGTGAATACTGCTGCACCACTGGGCCTTTGCGCCTTTGTCTGCCTGTCTGCTCCCCTCCCTGTCTGCAAGGCAAATTCCTGTTGGTTCAGTGAAACCCAAATCAAACGTCAAAACTCCGAAAATTCTCTTTGAGATGTTCTCCTTTCCTAAGGCAGAACCCATTACACGCTTTTCCATGTGAGTCTCTCTCCTATGTAAGCCTCTCCACGAGGGGCCCCAGGCGGACTTATCCCACAGCCCCTTGGGATAAGATCATGAGGTATCATGGTGCCAGCCAGACATCCTGGGGAAGAGGAAGCCAAGCTCTTACCTTCTTGGACCGGAGGGGCCCGCCCCACCCCGCCCTTGCCCATCAGGAGCCGTGTGAACAGGGCCCTGTCGCTGCTCCCCGGCCTCCTCCGGTCAGCCTTGGCGCCCTCCACCATGGCGCGGAAGCGCCGCCGCTGCTGGGGGGATTTCTCCTGCGGACGCACAAAGCGGGTCGGTAAGATGAGGCGCACCAAACACCGCAGAGGCATGCCCCCTCCACCCCCGCCTACTTTGGGCCCCCGCCCGCTCACCACAGAGCTCTAGCCCTGGCGGGGCGCCCACCTACCGCGTAAGGGCTGAAAGCCTCCCGCTTGGCGCGCAAGAAGTTGGAGAGGTTGCCGTACTTGCAGAACTCCACGATCACCATGAGGGGGCCTGGGGCGGCGCAAGGCCAGTGCTTGGTGATGGAGGGCACGCCGGAAGGCCAGTGCGCAGCAACGCCCCCCTGCCCCCTCCCCTCCTCCCCCTTCCTTTCCAAGGAAGCCCGTCCGTCAGCCAGCCCCTCGCACCGCAGACCTGTGCACCCTAGGGCCTCGCCCGCTCCGTACCATTAGGCTTCGTGCACGCCCCCAGGAGGTTGACCACGTTGAGGTGGTTACCGATGTGGATTAGGATCTTGAGCTCTGACATCAGGGCACGGTGCTCGCTAGCTGTGGCACCCTCTGAAAGGGACACAGGGGCTTCACCCGGAGCCAGGCCGGCCCGCCTTGGCCCCAATCCCTGTGCTTAGCTAAGGCATGGTCAGTGCTCATGCCAGTGGAGTTGCAGGGTCCCCAGCGGCCCAGCAGCCCCTCTGAGGCAGGGGATTCAGATGAGACTGGGAAGCATTACTCAAACCTGAGCCCCAGGCCCGGCTCTGAGTCCCATGGACTCCCTGTAGAATCTGGGGTGAAACCCTGGCTATGAGCCTCACATCCTCTTCCTACACCACAGAGCCACTGCTCCCCACCAGCTCGGCAGCCCCCTCCGCCAGCTGACCTTTCAGCATTTTCACAGCCACAGTGTCACAGCTGCTGCCCTTGTTGATTCCAAAAGCTGAGGCTTCCACCACTTTCCCGAAGGCCCCGTGGCCCAGGACTTTCCCTGTGGGGGCAGGGAGCCGGTGCCAGGTGAGCTGCATGGAGGTGAGGGTGGAGAGGGATGGGCCACAGGGCAACCCAAGTGGAGGGCCAGGAAGGAAGGCTCAGGATGGGGGAGGAAAGTTGAGAGCCCCTCTGCCAAACAGGAAGAGCCTGGGAGCTGAGAGGGCAGAGGGAGAGGAGAGGCAGACAGGAAGGCCTGCATCCTCTCCCAGCAGCAGGTGTGGTGGGCCCACCCTGCTCGGAGTGGCAGGACGTGACCTCGGGGGCCTGGGAACTGGGAGCCCTGGCTGGGGGTCTGGGGACTCACTCCGGGATGGACAGGTCAAGCCAGGTGGGGGATAGGCGGGACTTTCTGGCATTAGTTCTGAAAATGGATGGCTTTCAGGGCTCCAGTCTGATGGCCCTGCAGCAGCTGAAGCTGCCTCTGCTAGGTAGGACACGGTGGGTGGGGCAGGCTGGGTGCTGGCCTCACCGAGGTGCAGCCGTTCCCGGGGGAACTCCCACTGGCTGGCATCATAGGACAGGTATTCACACTGCTCCTCCAGAGGCACCTCCCCCGGGTCCATGATGATGGACAGGTAGCCGGTCTTGATGTCTGCATGGGCTGGCTGGGGTGGGGGTAGGGACGGTTCATTGGTTAGGCCATACCGCTGTGGCCTGGGTAAGACTTTGCCCAGGACAGATGGGATCTCCTTCCCAGCTCTTAGTCAAGGAGGGAACAGTAGGACAAACAACCTCTGGTGGCCTAAGAGCCTAGCATGGTGGAGTCAGGGAGACGTCCCAGGAGATGGGGCTTCCAGGTGAGCCAGGATGGGGACCTTATTCCTTATCTTAGGGACTGTCCAAGGTGGACAGATACCACAGGAGGTGCTGAGGAGAAGAGCCCTCACCTTCCTCATGTTACAGAAGATGAGAAGGAGGAGGACCCAGAAGAAGACAGCGATGACCCCGGTGCCCACGAGGATCACGATCTCCATGCTGCCTTTATCCTCAGAGCCTGAGTGGCCAAAAACGGTCATGTGGGGTGTGTGTGTGTGTGTAGGGGGAGAGGGTGCACCTTGCAGGAAGCGCCCCTTCTGGTGGGCACGACTGGCATGAGGTGGCCACAAGAAGGCACCAAGTGCAGGTGGGAGAAGGGCGGAGGGACATGAGGGGGAGGCCGGACCTTCCACGGCCACGCTGGCAGAGGAGTTGACGCAGCCCTTGGCGTTGCACACGCTGCAGAGATAGTGACCTGCGTCCTCCTCACGCACGCGCTGGATGCTCAGCCTTTGGTTTGAGTCAGCCAGGTCGATTCCTGCAGGCAGCCGGTGGAGGTTAAAGTTCAGATGGGCCCGGGCCTTGGCCCCACGAGCCTCCGCACCTGGCCTTCCGCCTGCAGCCAGCCCTACCTGACTCTTTCTCCAGCAGCCTCTCGTCTTTGTACCACACAATGCTGGGCACGTGCGCTCCGGCCACGGGGCACCGCATCTCCAGGGAGTCGCTCACGTTCACCAGGAGGTCAGTCAAGTTCTGCGTAAGTCGAGGGGCTTCAAGGGCTGGAGGCGGGGTCGAGAGAGAGCTAAGTGGAATGCCCAAAGCGGAGGCGGGGGAGGCGGCACTGGGAAGGTGCCCTCCAGAGAGCAGAGGGTGAGACAGATTGTGCAGAAGCTGAAAGAAGGGACAAGGTTTGAGCGCCGGGTGGGGGAGATGTTCGTGCGGACTCCCACTGGTGGATGGACTGCCCAGGCACCTGCTGGACTGGGGGCAAAGGCTCCTTGGGAAGCACAGTCAGCCCTCCCCGGCCAGCCCTGCCCACCTCACCCTGCACTGACAGGTACTTCTTGTGGCAGTGCTTGTCGTGGCTGCGACGGTCCTGCACCTCGCACACATAGTCGCCTTCGTGCTCTGGCACCACGTGGGGGATGGTCAGGCTGAGCGTGGTGTGGCGCACCCCAGGCTCCGCCTCCTCCAGGCTGGCGGCCAGCGGCGTGGCAAACAGGTGCACATTTTTGCAGTCCAGCAGCAGCGGGTTCCCATGTGCATCGTGCAGCGTGGACAGGTTGAGGCGGTACCAACGCAGATTCTCATAAGTGTAGTTGTCCGCCCGGCAGCTGAGGCGCACGGCCTGGCCTTCTAGTGGCTCCTCCGATGGTTCCGATTCAATACTGAAGCCATCAGGGATGGCTGGGTGGAAGGAAGAACCACTGTGACACTGCACCAGTGACATTGTGACATTGCACCTCACCTGCTAGGTGCTGGCTCTCCCTTTCCCATCAGACTTTGATTCACTCAGCTCTCAATCAAAGGTATGCATCACGTGGATCTGGGCCAGGGACACCACCCAGAGCCCTCTTCACCCCTGTCCCTTCCCCTCACGGACCATGGGGCCAGCCACAGGCTCTCCTCCTGACCCTGTCTAGCTCACTTCTGGACAAGCACCAGCCAGGCTGCTACCTCCACCTCCCCCAGGAATCCAGTCGTCCGTGAGATCCTTATCACGAGACAGTGGGAGCCTGAGTGCCCACCCTTCCTTGCTGTTGACCGCACCCCACCACTGTCTTCTTGAAACCATTCTCTTATTTCATTAGCTTTCAGTAATAGCCTTGCTTCGATTTTGGATTTCCTCTGGCCACTCCTTGCCATGTTCCTGAGGGTTCCCTCCTGGTTCCATCTCTCTTCCAGGTGTCATCCCACACCCCTGGGCCCAGTGACTTCCCTTTCATGGGCTTCTTAGCTTTCCTGAGGTCAGTAACACGTTTGAAAATCTGAGGAACCTACGGACCTTCTCCCCAGAGCAAAACACAGGCGAATGCATTTTCTGATCCAGGGCTTGGAAAGAGGGTGGGAGGCGGGCAGAGGGAGGTGGAATTAGATAGAGCTGCAGGCATCAGGATGCCAGTCCTGGGGGTGGTGCCTCCAGGGTGAGGGCAGAGGGTGCTGCATCCTGGTGGGCCAGCACCCCAGTCCACATGCCATGGCCTCCAAATCTGTCCCTCTCGCCTATACCTAAGGGCCCAGTATATCTCCTGAGTGCCCCACGGTCACCAGAACCTCAGTGGGCCTCAAGCTGGTCTCATCTTCCTCTCCTAGGCTTGTTCTCCTCCTGTGCCCACCTGGTCCCCGCCCTCCACCTGGTCCCTGCCCTCCACCAGGCCCGCCCAGGTCACTCACTGGTCACGTAGAAGTAGATGAGCCGCTCGTCCTGGCCCACCTTGTTGAAGACCACACACTTGTACATGGCAGACACATTGGCATCCTGGATCACCAGCTTGCTCACCGTCTGGGCAGAGCATAGGCAGAGTATCTGTTTCATGCCTGAGTTCCCCAATTCAACCTTCCCTTTCTGCAAGGAGGCTGCTGTGCCCACCAGAGTAATGGGGGAAACTGAGGCTCTGTCTGGAGGTGACAGAACTCAGAGACAGGACCAAGAATGTGAGGCAGGGAAGAAAAGGCCTTCGGGCAGCAGAGGGGAGGAGTGCCTTGGAAAAACTAAGGGACAGTGCTATGCACAGTTGGCATCAGCAGTAGATAGGGTCAGAGGGCAGTGTTACTCCTGAGTGCTCCCGAGGGTCAGAGGGCTGTGGATGGGTTCAGCTGTGGTCATGTTGAGGTCAGGATTTGGGCTGGGGTTACATCAAGGGGTTATATCGTGGCCTAAGATGAGCATCTGGTTGCTGTGTGAGAGCCTTGTGATATGCCCACATTCACTCTAGGGCTGCCCACAGCACCTCTCCCAGTGGCCTGGGTAGTAGCAAGGCGAGGGGCTGTGTCCTAGACCTCAGAAGGACTCTGGCCTGGGGGTGTAAGAAACTTAGAAGCAGGGGAGGAGAGAGAGCCATAGGCCCTGCCTACCATCCAAAGACACCCTCCCCTTCCCTGACCCTCCCCTCCGCCCACCCCAAGCTGGGCACTTCCTGGCCAGGCCTGGAACAGGAAGAGGCTCTGGAGGTGTGTGGAAAACAGGAAGTGATCGTAGGAAGTGGGTGCCTTTGTTCAGTCACCTCCCCCACCTGGCCTCTTCTAGGCATTGCCCCCAGGTTGGGCCAGCGGCTTAGCAGCCTTTGGTGGGGACTGGGGCAGCCTGGTTGTGGGCAGCTGGGGCCCATGGCCTGGCCAGGTGGCCTTGGAAAGCAGCTGGAGGTCTGCCCCCCACCGACAGGCAGGCAGGGGAGCTGAGGCCCAGAGACACTGCAGAAAGGTCACTGACTTAGCTGCTATCCCCAGAGCCCTGCAATCCTGATGGAAACCAAGAAGCTGCCAGGAGAGGGCCCCTCCCCTCCTCCCTTCTCCTTCTTCACTGCCAGTCAGTGGCAGAGCTGGCGAGTACCTTATTCTTCCCCTCCACAAACTCGGTCCAGGTGTCCAGGCTCTCAATGGGGTTCACGGCATCCTGCACGGTCACCTCCCTCCAGTCCTGGCACTGCGGCATGCGGTCTCGCTGTTGCCGCCGGCTGCTGGGGACCAAGACAGTCGAGGTCAGAGGTACAGGCAGGGAGGGCCCACATGGGAGTGGGGTTGAGCCTTTGTCATACTCAGGGCCTTCTCCTACACCGTGGTGGGCAAGGCTGGCCCTTGGCGGTGGTGAGCAGGGGGGCTGGGGCTTTGCTTCTGGAACACTGTCTTGCACACTTTATGCTCAGGGCCCTGTAACCCAATCTGCGGAGACTGCCAGACACTGCCTTCCCGGGTGGGCCAGAGCCTAATGCCTGTTGAGCAGCACACACACACGGTGGCTCTGTGCCCACCATCCCCAACTCGCATGTGCTCCTCCTGCAAAGTCCACCTAGATCTCCAGGGACAGCAAAGTCACCACTGCTACTCCAAGCAGCCTTCATCTGCTCTCCCTCTCCCCCTCCCTCTTCCAGAGCTGCAACCCTTCCCCGGCCCAGGTGGGTTATGGGTTCCTCCCCTTGGGTGTGAGGCCCCAAAGGAGGCTCTTTTTGCCCCGAGTGGAGTGGCCCCAGGGCACTGTCATTTGGTGCAGAGCATCAGAGGGAAGCAAATTTGGAGGTACCAGCAATGACCCGCAGCCTTATGATCTAGAAGAATCTCTTATGAGCCTTGGACATTGTGAGCTGGCTCAGGCCCACAGGTCACCCCTACTGACCACATTGGGGCCACAGCCTCTCTACCAGTGTTGCTGCCCTGTCCCCACCCTGAGTTCCCAGCTTCTGTCCCTCCCCAGCCTGTGACCCCCCACCCTGCCCACAGGGCTCTCTGGCTACATGGCAAATCTAACCTCTCACTCCTCTGCCCAGCACCTTTCCCTGGCTCCCTCATGCCTCTCGGACCTCTGCCACTTCGGCACCCCCCTCTCCTGTCCCTTGCTTGTCCAAGTTGTCTCTGTTGACGCCCCACTCAGTGCAAGGGAGCATGGCCAGCAGTTGGGCAGGCTCTGCTGCTTAAAGCTGAGACCTTGGGAAAGTCATGTCCCTTCTTGCACCCCCAGTTCCCTCTTCTGTAAGGGTGGTAAGCGCTGCACAGATGAGCTCACACGCATGGGCATGCTTGTTTTTTTTTTCGTTTTTTTTTTTTTGCAACATGAGAACACATTTAATGCTACATGCAGCTTGCAGCCTGCCCAGGTTCGTCCCCACACTCCATGAATCCTTGGCAGGAGGTGTCCTTCTGGGTGCCCAGCCTTGGTCCCCTATGAAGATGCTGGTATGTGTCTGGGGACTTTGCTCTTGGGAGAGATGGGCGGGGCCTGACTGATACAGGGAGGGTCTGAGCTTTGCTCAGATGGAATGAGGTCGGGGATTGGCTACAGTGTAGTTGTAGCAGGATTTGAGTTTAGAGCAGGGCTCTGGGGAGGGGGAGGTATAATAGGTGGGGGTCATGGCCGAGGTTGGGGACTAGGCTGAGCAGTAGAGAGAACAGACTGGAACCACACTCACGGGCTGCGCTGGGTGAAGGTCTTGCAGGGTGTCCATGGCCGCCAATGCCACTGGACACTGAGAGGAGGGGGCACCCCGTAGGCAGTACAGGTGAGGGCCTGGCGGCTATGGCGGGAATAGGTGCTGGGGGAGGAGGCCTCCTTCTCATGGATGTGGGGAGGCACTAGGAGCACAAGCAGGCAGCCAGTCAGCAGGTGGCGCAACCACACCTGCCTGTCTGTCCACGGTCCCCTCTCCCACCAGCCCTCCCGTACTGCCCCTACCATTCACAACCAGCTCCAGGCTGATGTTGCGCCTCAGGCCAGCTGCGGAGTTCCACAGAGAAAGGGTGTAGATGCCTGCACTGGCCTCTGTCACATCCTTGAGCACCAGGGCATGTGGACTGTGGCGCCCCGACACGGCCTTTCTGTCCTTGTACCTGGCCCAGGAAGGGAGTTCAGGGGGGCTGCGTGGACCCTCCCCAGCCTGCCCTGGCACTCTTTGCCTGCCACAACCCAGCCTCTACAACCTCATGTCAGGAGGCAGGACCCCTCCAGACCAGATGGGGGGAGGGGAGCGCTCCTGGGAAGGGCTAGCAGGGGTGCAGGGCAAGGTTATGGGGGTGGTCTCCAGGCATGACTGCAACCTCACCGGGCTCAGAACACCGGAGATCTGAGACAGCACACTCACTAACTCCCCAAAGGCTCAGAGGCCCAGACCAGGAGGGTCCTGCCCACTGTCCCTATTGGAGAAAGGCCCTGTCCCTCTCTCACAGGCTTCAGCTGTGCTTGGGGGTGGGGGTGGGGTTGAAGGGGAGAGGTGCCATCCTGGGGAGTACAGCCACAATCCTTAGAACCCTCGCCATTTGGGGTCCTGCCTCCTTCCCTCCGCATGAAGTCGAGTGCCCACTCATCAAAGAAGCTGTCCTGTCCTGTGAGCCACTGCAGCCCTTGGCTGTTTCTGCAGCCTGCTCATCTGCACTGGCTGTCACACACATGTCTACTGACTGTCCATCTGCCCCACTGAGCTGTGAGTCTCACAAGAGAATGTTCCTTTACTGCCATGTCCCCTACACAGAGAGCAGCGCCGGGCACAGGTAGATGCCCAATGCATGTGTGTTGCATGTGTTAACAAACGGGTGCCTTGCACTCCAGGGAAGGGCCCTCCCCAGTCCTGAGCTGGGGGTGCTGCAGGGAGCAGCCTCTGCAGCCCAGTCTGGACTCTGCCTGGGAACGAACAGCCTCTCAGGCAGGCACCCTCCCCGGTGTGCTAGGAACGGCCCCCTCCCCAGTGGCATCTCTGAATTTCTGAATAGGAGGGTCCTGGAGTGGCATCCTGTTCAGAGGGAGGCCTAGGAAACCTGAGGCTACTGCTGCAGGGCTCTGTGATGCACTCTAGGTGGCAGGGCCCTCAGAGATGCTGAGCAGGTGCAGAAGGCAGTTAGAGCCTCATGCTGTGCTCAGCTCACCCACATGCAACAGGAGGCCAGCATTTTAAAGCTTTCAGTTTAGCAGTCCCCAGGTCACCCTTCCCTGTGGCTGAAAAATCACATTATGTGCACGTTCCTAGAATGCCTTCCATGCGGGTCCCCACAGGGTCTTGGCAAAGGCTCTGCCAGGAAGGATGCTGTCATTCCCACCCTGAGGTCTGGTCTGAGCTGGGTCTGGCAGGTAGCAAGGGGCAGAGGCCAGGGCTGTACCATTGGAACTCCGGTGGAGGGTATGCTGCCAGCTTCACGGGCAGCTTCACCAGCTCATCTCCTGCTGTGGCCTCTAGGACGGGATCTTTGAGCCACTCGACGCTGATGAAGGGTTTTTCTGCCAGATGGGAGGTATCAGCGTAAATCTGGGGCCCAGTGTCACTGATCCACTAGTTCCCAGGGACTCTCAGCCACAGCCCCGTACCCCCAGCAGCCAGACACCTGCAGACTGGGGCTCACCCTGCCCTCCAGAGTATGGGGACTGGGTAGCCCTACAGCTCACAGGCCTTCCTTCCCTCAGGCTGGGTTCCACCTTGCTTGGTGCCCTATGACCTCTGACCCTGGACCCACACTGCACAGGAACCCTTGTTCCCCAGGCTTGATGATCGACCCCGAGTCCAGTCAGGCCCTGCTGGGCATGTCGACCCAACCCAGGCCATACCATGCACAATGACCTCGGTGCTCTCCCGGAACCGCTGGATGCCGTTGTTGGCCTCGCACACATATGGGCCCAGGTCATGCTGGCTGACATTGTGGATGGTCAGGATGCTGGAGAGCTCTGTGTGAGTCTGCTGGGAACGCCGCTCTGGCACCCATGTTCCCCGCTCAGCCTGCCCACACCCAAGGGAAGCCCAGGGTCAGAGTGGGCAGGCTCTGGCAGAGCTGACCACCAAAGGCACACACCCAGCCCAGCCAGCAGTGGCTTGAGGAGCCTGGGACCCAGACCCAGAGTGGTCCTTGGGATAGGAAAACTTCCCCATCAGACTGGGGCTTCTAGGGAAGAACTAGGTCTGCACCTCTTCTACACAGAGGCCAGTGAGTGCCAGGCCAATGCGGGCATGGGCAGTGATGCGGACTCCTGGGGGTGGTCCTGGCACAGCCCCTGGCAGGGCTGCTGGCTTCACCTGCTTCCCTGGGTAGTCCCAGTCGAAAGTGACACCGGAGTTGAACTCAGCCCACACGGTGCAGTTCAGGACCAGCTTCTCCCCAACCAGCAGCTCCAGTGACTTCTTGGGGAATAGCTGGATGTCATAGAGCTCGTTGCCTGGTGACATACGAACAGTGACCCCAAACCCCTCACAGGACAGCGCATACAGAGGGCAGGGCACCCACTAAGACTAGCCGTGGCACCCATAGCTCCATACTGGGAATTGGGGGTTAACCATTCTCGTCCTGCTGTCCTACTCCCAGGACACCGGGAGCCGTCACTGGGCCAGCACCCCGAGGCCCTGGGCGCCTTTACCTGTGATATGCACAAGGAAAGGGTTGGATAGGAAGGTCTGGCCGCCCCAGGTGGTCTCGCACTGCAGGTACAGGGCATCACGCAGCAGCAGGGTGGGCACCCGCATGCCCCGGCGGTCGTCCCACACCACCTCCTGCCCATCAGGCCTCAGCACCGAGCTTTGCTGCAGGGACATGGTCATTGTCAACATTCCAGCTGCCCCTTCTTCCCGGCCAGATTAACAACCCAGGAGATGGGACAGGAGGGCTGGATCCCAGGGTGAGGCCGGACTGGGGCTGTACCGAGCGCAGCGTGACGTTGAGGCCAGGAATGGACACCAGGCAGGGCACCCACATGGAGTCCTTCCTGTTGACCAGGAGCGTGTCTGGCTTATTGATGAACGGCTGCTCCAAGTCTGTAGAGGGGGAGCAGGTTGTGGGAAAGGCAGGTGGGGCTCAGGGGTCTCTAACCAGGTGGAGGGCAGCAGGGCAGACCCATGGGGTCCGCAGGCTAGGGGTGAGGGTGCAGATGCTAGCTGCCCCTTCATGACCCAGGACCCTACCTGCCCGCGCGGACAGCTGCAGGAGCGCGGGCTGGCCCTCACCTCTCACGAACACGTAGGCACTGGCCGCAGTGGTGCCTTCGATGCGGGCCTTGATATACTTGTAGTAGCATTGGTAGCTGCCCGTGTCATTGGCATGGGCCTCGCGCAGCAGCAGCACCTTGCAGTAGGGCCTGGCGTCCGTGCCCTCGCAGTCTTGCACGATCCCCGTGTCCTCGCTGTCTTTTCCCCCCGTGGCTGGCACCTCCTGAGCCCCTGGCCAGGTCCACTCGAGGGGGTGCTGTCCCCTGGCAGAGGACATGGAGATCAACAAGGGCCCCACTGCAGCCCCAGGGGTCTTCCCACAGCTTGCCTTACCCAGAGGTCAGGACCACCCACTGTTAGGGCACTCTCCAGGACCCAGCCCAGGGGTGCACTCTGGGCCTCTGCCTGGCCCCTGGGCCTCCATATGGCAGGCTGACCTACAGGCAGGATAACCTGTCTGGGGCCTGTGAAAGAGGGTAACTGGCCTACGTGAAGGGTGGCTGGAATGGGTATAGGGTGACCTGGGTGGTGGGCCTAGGGCAGCCTGGGCTCAGTGTGCGGTGACCCAGGGGCAGGTGCAGGGTGACTGATCTATGGTCCATGTGAAACGACTAGGGGTGCGTGTGGGCCAAATGGGTATAGGGAGCTTATGTCTGCAGGCTCCCAACCCAGGCTCTAGGAGCCCCACTAAGCCTCGAGGCCTCTCTGCCCCCTGGGCCCTCTGCCCCCACCTCCTGCCTCAGCTCTGTAGTCTCCTTAGCCTGCCGGGTAGGAGGGACCTAGGCCCTTGCTCCTCTGCCCGGGGGCTGAGTACCTGCAGGAGATGGACAGGCTGTCACTGGAGTCAATGACGTGTGTCTCCTCTGTAATGTCCAGGGTCGGGGGGGTCATGGAGTAGCCACTCACCGGGCCTGGAGAGGGAGATAGGGTTAGCGTGGCACTGGGTGGTGAGTCCACAGGATGATGACCGTCGATCAGGTGCAGATCCCTCCCCAGGGCCGGGCCCCCAGGCAGCATGGACATGGCCTGAGTCAAGCAGTAACCTCCACTGCTCCCTGCCCCTGGCTGGCCACCCCCAGAAGAGCCCTGATAGAGACCTGGACTGAGCCTGGATCTCTGGCTCACGTGAGCTGAGCTGCCAGCATGATGTTGACGAGGGAGACTGCAGGCCGCCTCCTACTTTGTGGAGGCTTGGAGCACATCACCTCGGCATTGTGACCCCCACATATATGCCTGAAGGCCCCTCTCTCCTAAACTTCACACCAACAGCTACTGCTTGTGAGAGGGCCCTACACAGCGCAACCTTCTCCAAACACACCCAAAACCAAGGGCCTCAGCCTCCTCCCAAATGCTGCCTGTAACCTCATGTTCTCCCAGGTCCCACGGAATCCATTTTGTGTGCTCTTGGCTCCATCAGCTTCTGTCCATCCTCCAGGCCCCCACGAGCTACCCCAGCTCCTCCTGGCTCCCCCTGTCTCAGCCCTCTATCCTTCCCCCAGGCTCATCCTCAAACACACAAGTAACTCCACCTCGCCTGGTTGAAAACCCTTCTGCAGCCCTCCAGGACCCCAGCCCTTGTCCCCGCAGCTCCTTGCCCACCATCCTCCTACCAGTGGGATGGCGTGTGTATGTGTGTGTATCCATAGGCATGCACCTATGTGTGTATGTCTGTCTCTATGTGTGGGTATGAGTCTGTGTGTGTCGAGCTGGTACACATGTGACATGTCTTTGACATGCCAATGTGTGGCCGCACAAGGACTTGTATGTGTGCGTGATCCCAGCAGGGGTGGGAGCAGGCCCCAGGGAGGTCTGGACCTGGGACTCTGGCAGATGCTTCCTGCCAAGACCATCCTGAGACAACAGGAAGAGAGGACTGCGTGGCTGGAGACCTATGGCTGTGTCCTGTTCCTCCTCCTAAGTCCCTCTTCTCCTCATGGGCACAGCCCACTGTCTGCCCCAGCCCTCAGCCCCGTCCAGCCTCACAGGTCTGGCTCCTCTACCCTCCTTGACCCAGCTCCTTGAGGCCCGGGGCCCCATCCTAGTTGGTTCTACACCACCCCAACCACCTTGGGAAGAGGCATCAGGATGGCACCGTCCACACACCAAGATCTTGTTTTGACATCACAAGGACAAGCTGGCCAAGGCTGAGAAGTCCTAACCAAGCATCTAGTCCCACTGTACAGACAGGGAAACTGAGGCCCACCAGCTGGACGGCACTTCTGCCCTCAGAAGGAAGTCACTCGCCTGGTTGGTGCTGTGACAGCTGCAAAGTCCATCTTTAACCCAGTGCACCCCCTCTTGGCACCTAGGCCAGCAGCCTTGTCCTTCCCTGCCTTCCCGCCCCCCCCAGGCGGAAGGTGTCCCTGGGCTCTGCTCCCAGGGTTCTTCTCCAAGTGGGCTCTGCTGCCAGGGCCGCTCATGTCCAGGTGAATGCCTGGCCCTCCATGCACACTAACTCCCACTGCGCATCCCATAATGAGGAGGCTCCCCTGGGGTTGTGAGGGTCTGGGAAGGAACCTGGGAGGGCGGTGCTGAACTGCACCTTGAAGGAGAAGTAGGATCTTCCAGGCAGTGGAAAGTGAATAAAGTCACACCAGGCAGACAACTGGCCTCTGAGCCAGAGGCGGGTGTATGATAGGCTTGGGTTTGGACTTGTGGGAGGTGAAAGAACTGGCTCTCCCAATGGACGAGGTAAGGGTCAGACCGGAGACCAGTGTGTAAGCACCAGAGGAGAGCCTCCTCAGTCAGCACCCACTTGCCTTGGGACTGTGCATACCCCATGGTGAGGCCTGCAGTGTTGCTCTGGGGCCCCCAGGGAGGCTGAGGGTCCCCTCTCTGGGGTGCACATCCAGGGCACACACCTGGCACCCCTAGCTATAGAGCTGTGGTAGGTGTCAGCCCAGTTTCCTTGGGCACCTCCCTTTTACTTCCAAGATAAAGCAGGACATGCCAGGCCTCTCCCTTCTGCCGACTCCCCTTCTTTCCAGCTTCATCTTCTGACCCATCTGAGAGGCGGTGACCTCTTACCATCATCCCAAAGTGCCAGGCTTTTCATATCTTGAAGTCTTTACCTGTCTTTTCACTCAGGACATTTGTACTCCTTCCCTCCTTAGAATCTGTCTTGTTAGGGTCTAGCTCATGCTTCCCTTTCTTATGGAACAATTATCGTCACTCAGGCAGTGTCAGCCTCCTTGGGGGTCCTGCTAAATAGATGGGTGAAAGGTGGGCAGGAGGATAGATGGATGTGGGAGGTGGGCAGGTGGATAAATGGATGGATGGGGGTGGGTGTGTGGGGGAGTAGATGAATGGTAGATGTGTGGGAGGGTAGATGGATGGGTGGGTAAACAGA